CCCAGGTCAAATATGACCCGTCCACCACCACCCTCTGAGTATGACCCTTCAGCCAATCTGCAATCCATCTGACTGTTTAGGCATCAATGCCACAGTCACCCTATTTTTTAATGAGGATGGGGTGGGAGACGGCATCAAAGGCCTTGCTGAAGTCCAGAAAGACTACATCCACGGCAACACCCGCATCCAATGCGTTTGTGACCTGATCATAAAAGGCAATCAGGTTGGTCTGACACGAACTGCCCCTAATGAAACTGTGCTGGCTGCCCTTGCGCATCATCTGAGGCTGGCCCATCGCAGATGTGCTCCATGACGATTTTCTCAAACAGTTTCCCTAGGATTGAGGTAAGACTGACAAGCCTATAGTTGCCCGGGTCCTCCCTCCTCCTTTTAGAGATGGGGACCACGTTGGCTATCTTCCAATCATCTGGCACCTGGCCCAAGCACCACGAGCGCTTGTAAAGCCATGGGAAGGGCCCTGCAATAACGCCTGCTAGCTCCCTCAACACTCTGGGGTGGAGAGCATCTGGACCCACTGATTTGAACACATCCAGCCCCTCCAGAAGCTCTCTAACCCGGTCCTCCCCAATCTGAGATCTAGAGGCGTTACCTAAAGAGCCTTGGTTGATGCTGCTTTCTTGACAGAGGTCAAAGTGTAATAACCCAGCATCCAGATAAACAGGTCTGCAAGAACAGACTTGGACATGCAATGGCCACTTAAACAGAAACTTGCAGACCTTCTCTCAATTCCAACTGACTCACTTTTGTGTTAAGAAGGCTAACATCCTTCTTGCTCTATAGTAGAAAGGCTGGCACAGCTTTTGATACTGATTATGAATCTGACAGTCCAGAGGCTTCAGGTTGGTAACTGTCGTCTCAGAGTTGTTAACTGAGCCACATAAACACATAAGACAAAATACTGTAGTAGGAATTATTCATGGAGAAATGGTACCATGTAGTCTCATGAGAGTCTTGCTAATAAAACCTACACAAGCTGTGACACTGAGGGGTTCTGGCTCTTAAAAAAAAAAAATCTAAGACCAATACACAGATGAAGCTGAAAAACAGACACATCCACCTCTTCATATTAGCCAGTCTGACATCCATGTTATTCTGTTGCTCTCTCATTTCTTGAACTTCAGACAGCACCTTATGCAAATCTTCCGTACAGACTTTGAGATCCTCTGTTCTCATTGAAGATGCCTAAAATGAGATCAGGTCACAGGTGCATTAGGTGTCTTACTCAATTGCAAATTTTGCTTGAATAAGGAAAAACATAATTAGATTGAGCCTGCAGATGAACACCACGCAACTGCATCATGGGATTAGAAAGGATTGAAAATATAAAGCTACAGCTTAGTGTGCTATAAGAAGCCACCTTTGATTTGACTCCCAATAGTTTGTGAAAGCACTTAAAAGATTGCTCATGATTTTGATTAGGACCTTATCAGTAGCGCATGCATGCGCACACACCCACCCACACATACCAAAACCACGCAGAAAAACAAGCAGTGGCTATCACGGCAGACCTACTATAATACAAGGCTTTATACTGAAAATGCAGCATGGATTCAGAATACTCTGTCCTCAAGGGTCTCCACATTATTGAAGAAACGAAAGCCTGCTTCCTAGACCTTGAAGCAAAGTCTGCCTTAACCCAAAAGCACAAGCAAAGTGCTGCTTGTTGCTCAACAGCAATAAAAGCAACATCATCAGTTACTTTTCAGCACAGAGATCAGAGATTTGGTTTAGTCACTCTGTGGCATTTACAAAGGCCCAGCCACTGTGGCATCACCATTAAGTCACTGCAAAACAGCCAACAGACTTAAGGGTCTAGTCACATGCATTTTACATTGCTGAAGCCTTTCTTCCTCCTTCATTCAGATCTCCTCCCAACAATGTTCCAACAGTGCAGACATCTGGCCTTACTACAGGACCACTTACAATCCACTAGCGCTGTTCTTGCAGCTGGTAATGAGCTGAAGAAGAGTCTCACCAGAATATACACAAGATGTTCTCTCTCAACTGGAGGGGCAGAGATCTCCTCTTTAGAATACACAGTCTGAAGATAAATTCAGGCACATTATATTGCCTACTGAAAACAAAGATATAATGCAGAAGCCAACTGTTTGGAGAGTAGCATGGATACACTATGGCAAAGAACGCAAACCACAAGGACGTAATTCCTACCATAACCTTAAACTACAAAGGATGGATTAATAACTCAGTAATTCTTGCCTTGCCCTACACTACAATCTTCTGCTAGTGTGGTTGAGGATGCCAGTAACACATACACATATATTGCACCCCAACGGAAATGTGGTGCTACTTGCTTCCTTGTCAGCACACAAACTGACTTCCAGAAAGAGACCCTGGGAAGTGAAAGCAAAATGCTTCCTAACATCCTTGGCTCAGAAAGGCCCTGAATTCTAGCCTGCATTAATGATGGGAGCCTGAAACAGAGTTTATGGCAGGCACTACAATGTTGATTCTCCTCCAGCTTGTAAAACAGTGGGAAAGGCTGACAGCCATTTTATTCACTGCAAGAATTGCTCATATTTGCTACAGCGGAAAATAGGTTTACCAGCCTGCTCCATGGTTCAGTTTAAGCGTTCCTGGCATTAACTAGATACTGGACCTTAAGCAATCAAGGCAGAAGACTCCACCTGATGGAATATTCTTAGGAACCATATTACTGTACATAACAATATGAATGAACATTTCCAGCATGCATGCTCTGTAGAAGCAGAAAACGAGGCTTGCAGCCAAAACAAGATAATAAGCACAGGGCCTAGACATCAAAAAGGCAAGACACCAACCATTAGCTGAGGTTGGTCCATTGAGCTGCCTGCCCTCAAAGTTCCAAGGGTTAGTCTAAAGCAAATCATGACTCCTTGAACCCAGTCAGCAAACTACTCGTTCCATATACAACTTCCTTTGATGAACATCCAGACATGCACGCGTGCATGCATGTACAAACACACACATTCTGTGCACTATACCTTGCGTTTGATGTTTTCTAGTAAGTGCGCTTTCCCTTGTTTGAAGTAAGGATGCTGGAACTCAATGACTGAGCTCTTCTCTGCCATAATCATGCCATTCTCCAGTGCAATCACCTTCCTGAATCCGTCTGAGGTGAAAGAATAGTGCACTTATTTCTCCTAATAGCTAAAATCAAGTTAGCGCTCACTCTTACAACAGGCACTTCAATAAAAAAAATAAAATCAAGCATGACTAAAATATCTATAGCACACAAGAATAATGTTAGAGAATGGGAATTTAAAGGGACCTCAAGGGCTTTTCACCAGCATTCAACCACTTAGCTGTAAAGAGTTCTCTGCCTGCTGCTGAACACTTGTGGTATTGTCAGCACTACTAGAAAGTGTTAGCACAGTTCTTACTTCCAAGAAACTCAAGTGGAGGCTAGTTGTGCAGCACACATAACAAAGAAGGTGCACTCACTACATGTGAGTGATTTCTAAGAAATCAGAGAAGTTAAATAAAATGTAAGCCTTATTAAAAAAAAAATGGGTAAAGTCCTGGCTGCACTAAAGTCTATGAGATTTTAAGGTCTATGATCTCTTGCTCCACCCCTCTCAAGCAACTAGATGCCAGAATACATATTTGTCCTGTATCCCCCCAGTGACCAGAAATTGAAATGTAATGACCAGTGAGTAGAACTTAAACTGCATTCACAGAAACACATAACCTTCTTCCCACATCATTCAGCAGACAGGTGGCATTAAACAGCATGTCTCATCTAAAAAAAGCATGGTGAGACTATGTTCTATTTCCATCAGTGTTTTAAATACTCTGAGAAAGTTACAAGACCCATTTCTAAGTGGTAATGTGAATCCTTAATTCTCCCAAATAAAGTTTCCAACATAATTAACATCTTAAGAGCACTGTATCGTGATACCATTTGGGTCTAAAAACTGAACTCAGCCTGCTCAGACTCAACTGCATACAAGGCATCACACTGTGCTTCCACAGGGAGACAGAGGAGCTTTAAATGTTGAAGTCCACTTTCACCAAAAGATACTTAACCATGTGTTCATTCCTTTAATCCTTTGACACACAGAGTTGGAATCTCAACCACTAGACACTAAGAGCAACAAACAAATGCCAAGAGGTTAACTGAGCCTCTTATCCCTTGTGTCTAATATGAGAAATAAATCAACTCTGCTGGGGTTGAGTCTACAAGTCTACTCAGCCAAGGACACATTGTTCCTCAGTAAATTCACAACATTCTCCAGTGATTAAGTGAGAGTACCACTATCAATCCAACCCAAATTCATTTAAGTTGCTGGCCTATATACTGTGAATGTACACTATATCCTTCTTTTCCTTCAAAAGGGCTCAAAACAGAAATAGTTTCCTTTGGTTAAAGAAAGAGGAGGATCCTTTATTTGTAATGAGCTGGACATATTAGGATTTAGCTCAAACTGGGGGCAAGTCAGGGGCTTCCCTCAAGTTCCTTCCTAGGAAGTACTTGCTGAGTTGCAAATATTTTGCACTCTAATCAGAAATGCCAAGTGATGAATATCAACAATTTCACTATGACGTATTTCTGTGTGGTTTTCTTCTCCACTTGTCCTTTGAACTATATGAATAAAAAGACTACAGAAACAAATGTAACAGGACATACAGAATTTTGCCTGTGTCATAACATCACACAGATATGCTTGCCTGGCTGAATGTACAACCTGTATTATTTGTGGTGCTGTTATGTAAAGGACACTGCACTGTATTTACCAGGAGGACTAAAAAGAGTTTAGCAAAGAATGTAAGCCAACCAGATATACCAGTGTGGCTAATCTCATTTCAACATAATCATGGAGATAACAGCATGGACAAATATTTTATCTTCCAAATAACAGATGAAGGAGTACACATGTGGCCTTTGTTCCTTTAAAATAATTCATAAATTCAGTATGCTAGAAAATGAGGGAATTATTAACACTGTTAGGGCTGGGGTGAATTTCTCTGTTAGACACCAGTTGTGAGCCAGGTCACATATAGATCTCAGAGATGAAAGCCCAGTGTGCTCTCAACTTCAGCCAATTATTCCCTTCTTTATACACATTCCAACTGATCCCAAGTAGTAGGGAGCTTAGCAGTATTAACACATGAGAAAAATGGATACTTACACATGTTGAGTTGACGTATGAAGCTTGAGAGGTTGTTGTGTTTGAAGTATTTAGGAAGGAGCTCCTTCGCAAATCTCTGCTCATCCAGAATGCAGAAGTTCTGGCCATTCTAGAAACAGATTAAAGACCAAAAGGAACATTTCCATGTTATTTACACATGAGCCTCTTCCAGGCTGATAAATCACTGAAATGTTTTTTGTAGCCTGGTGTCAATTGAATTCCCCAGTGCAATAGCAAGAAGTATAATGCTAGAGGAGATATACAAAGAATATTTCAGTTAACAGGGGAGGTCTGCAAACACCTTACAACTAAGTTTGGCCTAGCCATTTGAAAACATCTCTCAAGGTCATTCTGATGACAGATCTCAACTCCTCTCGTATCTTCAAGAAAACAAAAACTTTGCTTGTACAGGTTTCCCTCGATTTATGTGGTACATGAGTTCCTGGAAAACGTCGCACAAATCAAATTTGCATAAAGCAAACCTACTTTATAATGTAAGAAATAGGGCTAGGTTCCCATGTCGGCTGATCTTGGAGCTGCTCCAGCATGGGCTGGAATAAGTGCAGACAAGCAGAGCCCCGGGTGGTACGGGGCACAGCACTCACCCCAGCCCTAGCTGCAGCAGCCGCAGGAACTGCCGGCACCAGCTGCCTGCAGCCACTGGGCTGCACCATGCCCAGGACCCCTTGGGGCTCTGGCTGTTCCCACTCACCTCAGCTTCTGCTGTACTGGCTTGGGAGTGGCCGATGCCAGCTCCCTGTAGCCACTGCGCTGCACCATGCCCTGGTGCAGACAGCTGGTGCTGACTACTCCTGGGGCCACTGCAGCTGGGGATGGGGTGAGTAAGGCCATGGCCCTTTCCCCTCCCCCAAAAGACTTACCTGCTGGGGGGGGGGGCATCTGTGCTGATCGCATAAGAGTGAATTTACCTCACATATAATAAATTATGGCTTTAAATATGCTCATTGCATAAGAGCAAATTTGCATATCAAGAACCCAGATAAATTGAGGGAAACTTGTACAGCTTGGAATTTGTGCCACAAGAGGGCTCTCTCACTCAGCCCAGGACAGTTCTCCTCCTGATAACATTCCTTATGGCTAAAACACCATTATAAATAACTAGATAACCTCAGAGAGAGAGACTGAAAGTACAGAAGGCACAACACAGCAATAAAAATAGCTTTCTAATGGTGAGCTAAATAGCTTCAGGTTTGTTCTATTCCCAAATTTAAATTTGTTGGAGGTGAGCTGGTCTTTAACCGTTCTGCTGCTGCTTGTGCAGGTACACTGGAATGGTGAAGCATCTTCTCATCTATGTCTTTTTTCCTGCAAAAGGCCAAAAAGAGCCACCAAATCACTGCACTCAGTAGGGGTTCAAATGACATAGGATTTAAATATTATCTGCACTAACCTCAGTTTTAGGAGTTTGCATTTGCATGTTATCCGCATGCAGATTCAAAAGGCAGTCCTACCTCCCTGTTGTCAGGGAGCCAAGATGAAGATTAAAAAGAATATTACAAAGCCCAGTACTGAAGGGGGAAACAAGTGCTCACTCCTTTCATTTCCATGTTATAAAAGTGAGTATTATTTGCTAAAATCATTGTTAAACACATTTTAACTCTGCACCCAACTGCTGAGCACACTATGCTACGCAACATCTAAATCAGGGATGTTAGACATGGTTTAGCAAGTTGCAGACCACAGAGTCATTCCCTGGAGCCCAGAGGGCTTCTGAAGACCAGGAATTCAGTCACAGCTAGCAGCAGGTGCAGTCTGCTGCAGAATGGGAAGCTACAAAGCCCTGTTGGATATGGCTATTGGCAGCAGGTGTGCAAGGGAAGGCAAGGCCAACATGGTGCTTGCCCTGCTTGGGGTCATGAAAGCTTGTGCTTCATCTATATCTTATTTTGCTAGTCTATAATGGTGCACAGCTACCCTGCCTTCTACACTGCTGCCAAGGCTGAATCTAGCCTGCAAGGAGCCCTGTGGTCTGGATCTGGCACGGAGTGAATCCAACACCTGTAAGTCTAGTAGTGGTGAGATATCACCCTCAAATCAACACAAACACTGCTGTGTGCCTGCAGGGGCTTCCTCACTACCTGGATCAGGGGGTGGGCAATTATCTAGGCTAGAGAAGGAATTTTGGTGAGCTGCTGCAGGCTGGGGCAGAGGAGGGGAGGGGTGCCAGGTCCACATGGCAAGGGGGTACAATTCATCCTATCCAGGGATGCCAGATGGAGCAGGCAGCGTCTCCATGAAGACCGGTCCAAGACCCCTGCAAACATGACATGCTTGGCTGGGCAGGTGGGATGGGACCATGGGTGGGCGAGCGAAGATCGGCATCCGGGAGTGGGATGGGTAGACAGAGCTGGAGACAATGCAGGGCTGGGCCCCAGGGCAGAGCCGCCATATACTCCCAACAAGTCCCTGTGATGGGCACCGACTTCTTGGGCAGGGACCAGGGCTGAAATTGGGGCCAGTGACAGCATGAGGCAGGGGCCAGGGGCACTCTTGGCAGGCCTGATCCAGCTGCAGCATGTATTTTGCCCACCAGAACTTAGATGCTTGCAAGCCTGTGCAAGCACCATCCAGACAGCACTGTATTTCCCCATGTATAGCCCGCACCTTTTCCACCAAAAGCAGCTGCAGAACATTTGGGCTGGGGAATTGTATTATATGTGAGAAAACCAGACCCCCAGGAGCTGTCAGACTGGCAGCAGAGGAATAGTGGCAGCATGAACTGCCTGAGCAGTGGCAATTAACACTCCTATGTAGGGGCCCCTCAGCTGGACCACAGGGCTCGAGCACTACACTGGGCTGGCACACAAGGCTGGGCTGGTGCATGGCTGGTGGCTGGACCCAGCACAGTCCAGGCGGTCCATGCAGTGCATGGGGAGGAGGCCTGGCTCCCCGCCTGCTGCTCCTCGGCTCGTCCCAGGAATTTTGCAGCCCCTTCCTCCCCGTCTCAAAAGCAAGTGGCCCGTGACATAAGAGAGGAGGTGCTGTATGCAAGAAAATACGGTACAGGAACATTCCATGGGGGCGGGAGGGGGGTAAGGGCGCCCGCGAGGCCTAACTTCCGCCCGCGCCGAACGAGGCCTGTAACTGCGCGCGCAGCCCCCTCCACACGCGCCTACGCCACGGCCGCGCCCCCTCCCCCACAACCGCTGCCTCACCTGGCTCCAGCGGATGACGTCATCGCTGCCGGAATCCTCCACCAGGGCCCAGAGCTTGGCCAGGAAACCGGCCACGGCGGCCGCGGCCGCGGCCGCCTCCTTCATCATCGCCGCGCTGCCAGGGCCGAGGGGGTGGGGCGGGAGGGGGTCGACGCCGCCGCGCGTGAGAGGCGGGGCCCGCGCCGAGAAGCCTCCTCATTGGCTGAGCGCGGTCGGCCCCGCCCCCAAGCGTGGCGCTGTTTGTTGTGGCCCCTGGGGGCTGGGTCTCTATGATGTCCTGAAAGCCCTCTCCTTGCCCCGCCTCCTAGCGCCGCGTTCCCAGCGTGCCTGACGTCAGCACGCCTGAAGAAAGCATTGGTTGCCTTATGCTCCCAGCTCTGGCGTCATGGAACGTCAGCTGCCGTTTTAAAAAAAAGTCTCGACTTCTTCATGCTTGAGGGGGTTTAGTTGGGGTCATCCAATGTCTGCTTGGTGTTTTGTTTGGGTGCCCCTGCCTGCTGCCACCCCTCAGGGGCCCTGTCGGTGGCTGAGGTGAGGCAGCTGCCCACATGATGCTATGACCCTTTGGGTAAAGGCCGGTGCTGTCAGGGCCGGTGGCTCTGCCCCAGGTGTGTGGGACGAGCCCAGCCGTTGCCCCCATCACTGGCACCAGGGCCATTCAGGCCACAACATCCACATCAAACGCAAATGCCTCCGACAGGATCCCAGCGACTCTGCGGGGGAGGCCGAGGCACCCAGGGATGCTTGGAGCCTCCCTCTGGGGTGCCACGGTATCAGCCCTGCTGAGCGTGCAAAGGCCACTTGCGGAGATTTCAGAAACAGCAGCTTTTATTTCCTGTGGCACCCAGATCAACACAGGCGGAGAGCTGGCCTTTTTTGAGAGGTTTCAGCTCTCTCCAAAGGTGCCTGAGTCTGAAAGAATGGCTGAGGAGAGAGGCACGCACAGCTGTGCCCACCCCCCCCCCTGCCAAACTGAAGCCTCAGGGAACTTAAATCTCCAAAGCGGAAGAAAACCTGCCTTCCCCTCCCCCTTCCACTCCCCCTCCCTGCTGAGATGTTTCCCCTTCCTCTGTCCCCCGTCTGCCCCAGCAGCTTTCCCAGCCCTCCCGAGGCAAGGGACTCTCAGAGCCGCTCCTGCCCACTCCAGCTGGGCCATGCAAGGCCTGGGCTCCCTATGGCAGCGACAGCATTAGTGGGACCCAGCAGCAATCCCCCCACACTGTTTCTGTTCCCACCTTAGCCCAGTGCCTGGGCAGCTGGAGTGGGTAGAGACAGCTGTGAAGTTTTCCCTGCCCCTAGACAGTAAGGAAAGCAGCAGGGACTGGAGGGGAGGGGAGCCTCTTGAGTATGGAGGGGAAGGCAGGGATGCTTATCTGCTTTGGGAACTTTAAAAAGTCTGTAGTGGCTCCTGTCCGTGCTGGTGGGTTGGGGTGGAGTGGGAGGCTGGGAGCAGGGGTGCACCCACAGCCACCCTGCGGCTGGTATGGCTGCTCCTGCACCCCCTTTGCAAACTCCTGGATCTTTCCCTGGTGGAGAACTGCTGACATGCACAGTGAAATAAAGCAAAACACGGGGTGGCTTTCAATTAAAACCAGCTCTAAGCTGATTCTAGGGGGCCAGGTACAGTATATGGCTTCTCCCAGGATCAGACTAGGAATTTGTGGCTGGTTTGCTGCTCTCAGGCTGGGAGAAGTGAGACAGCTGGAGAAGGGAGTGTTCTTATCACTCCACAGTGAACTCCCTGCCTCCACCCTGGCACAAAGCAGGTTTGACAGGTCTGTAAGGCACAGTAGACCGTTCAACCCTGCTGGCATCTGAATAAAGGTGTGAGACAGGACAAGGACCCTCTGCTGTGTGGTATCAGTTATATGCCTTACAGCTCTTCTATCCCATAATGAAACAATAATAATACCATCAATTTCTTCTCTCTCATAAAAAGAAAGGCGTGGTTCTTCGTAACTAATCTCCAAAGATGGTGCCATACAGTGCTGAAGGATGAAAGTGATAGTGGTCTATAATATCAAGGCCCTGAAATTACCCAGCCAGGCTGCTCACATCCGGACTATTTCGTGTCTAGTACATTACTGATACAACTCACATGTTGGACCTACCCAGTGGAGGTCAGGTGTCTCCCTTTTTTACAACCTGGACTTTGCCCGCTCTGGCATTTGTGAATCTTTGCAGATTCATTATTTCTTCAGCGCTCTAGGACTTTAAACAAAAATGTCTCCAGACTGATTCTCTGACCTTCTCAACACTGCCTACTTCTAAACCAGCAACAAAGTAAGGGTTTACATTCATTAAAGATTACATCCATTTGATACTTTCCGCTTTTCCTTGGGTAGAGTTTTCTTAGCTCTAAGCAAAACTGGGACCAGTTCATCTTTCTTGATAATGTGGGGTTTTATTAGCCTGGTGGAGGAGAACAGTAAAAAGGATGAACATCTTACTGGTTTTTCCCCTTTATTTCATATGTTATCAGACAGTCAGAAATATAACATTTGTGGGAAAACTGTTTACCTTTGAAATTTTTGTTTTGATGTCTAAACAAGTAAACAGATCTATCATTTTCAGATGCAAGTAAAACTTTTAAAAGGGCTGAAGTGTATTTTAAAAAGGAAGAAGCATGTTTAAGGACAAAAAGTGTTGGGCAGGGGGCTTAAAATTCATTAAGCTGATTCCACTTACACCAGTACAAAATTAGGAGCAAGTCCCTATAAGTTAATAGAATTGCACCACTGTACAATGGATGGAAGAGAAGAATCAAGCCCTATGAAGCATAATTGGGAGATGCTGCATTGCTATTTCATAGTGTAAGAGAGTGCTCTCACTCTCACATCCTAGTGAAATTCTCAGGGCATTTATACATATGCTCTGGGATGGGGGAGGGTGGGGAGGCACTTTAATTAAAGCTCCGGGAGCATCTCTTGTATCAGCATCCCCATGCTGAAAAATGGAGGTGTGGGCGCTTTAACTTTATAAAAATCCAGCAGAACCAATTAATTTAGTCTGCTCTGACACACTGCATCGAAGCAGCCTTGCTGCAGGTGTATAGGTGCCCTCACATCCTAATCAAACTCCTGCTTCCATTCTGAATCAGGTCTTTGACAGAAGAGGGTTTTCTTTCTGTTTTCTGCCTGAGGCAGTTTGCTGGGGGCAGGTGATTCCCAGGCAAGTCAGGTGCAACCAGCAAACTTGCTAATGCTGCAGGCTGAGTGTGAGCATGGTAAGAAGGACCTCAGAAACATAAATGTGGTAGGTGTGTGGTACCTATGACCATCTGGAACTAGGCACTTCTCCCAACCTGTCTTAATAAGCAATATCCATACTTGATTTCAAGCCCAAGCTCAGCCCTTTTCTGGGGGCTGAACAAGCACATGATATTAGGATGACATAAGGATTAGCTCAGATCTGCCCACGCTTGACAGCTTCTAGACAGTGTTCTCCAGGACTGCTTATACATGTCCTACATGCTCTTTCTCCCAGACAGCCACTCCTATGTCTTTATAATGTAGTTGGCTAATGAGCCACTAATTGGGTTCAGTCAACAAAATCCACTTTGCCCTTTTGCAACAGAATCTATGCTTATATGGCCAGAGGTTTCAGGCTAAAGCTGCAGTCCTCTTATACAATCTATACTTTCCTTGTGGCTGTCACTTTTGTCTCTCACTGTCCATTGTGCATGCATGTGTGAGAGACAGCAGGAATGGTACATGTAGGGCTTAGTTAACAAATTGGGTTGAAGAACAAGGTGTGTGTGTAAATGAGGGTCTTTCATGTCTCTGTGTGTAATATCAGCTATGTCACTAATGAGGCGAGAAGTTAGTAGTCAGAGCTAAAGTGACTAGGACCAGAAAGACCTGCAGGGTGACCTTAGGCAGATGACTCCACTGCTCTGCCCTTTACAAGAATAGGAATAATGACACTGACCTTCTTTTGCAAAGTCATTTGAGATCTACTGAGGAACAGCATTATGTAAGTGAGGTGTATTATTACTGGGTCACAGAGCAGAAATATCTCCCAGATTCAGAGGTCATTATTTTTTTAGCAGAGGAAGCTAAAGAACAGTTTATACATTGTGCAAAGCCATAAACAGGGGTTTTCCAAGCTGAAGCATATCAGCAAAAAATTAACTAAATATAATGACTGTCTTCTCCCAGTTACCATTAATTTCTGAGAAAAGCAAAGATTCTTCGGAAATCATAGGTTCATAAAAGCATGGGAAGAATAGGACCTCAAGAAATCATTTACTTCAGCATTCTGCACTGAAATGGGATCATTCTTGACAGATACTCATTTAATATACTCTTAAAAACCTTCAGTGAAGGAGACCCCACAACCCCTGTAGGGATCCTATTCCAGTGTTTCACCACCCTAGAAAGCTTTCCTTAATATATATAATCAGGATCTTCTGTGCTTCTAATTAAGATGGTTTCTTTTGTTCATTACCTAATGGCAATGGAGAACAACTGACCATTGTCCCACTAACAATAAACTTTAAGATATTAGAAAATTGCTATTAGTTTAATTACCACTGCTTTGGGACCCCCTGCAGTGGAGCACAGCAGCTGTTTTGCAATGCTCAACAGTACTACACAACATTATGGCACAAGAGGGTTGGAGAAAACCAGTGGAACACGTGAGAAACAGGCTTGATCAGGGGTTGGAAACATACAGCCTGCAGGCCGGATATGGCCCATGAATAAATCTGTCCATCAGCCAATAAATCTGTCCCGCAAAGCCTGAGGGCTTTACCTGTGTCTCTGTCTGTCCCCACACCAGGGCTGAACAGCAAGAACCTGGGCTGGGGCTAGACAACCTCCAGCTATGCCCATGCCACTGCTACTTCTTGCCCCAAGCCTCCCCCTGGCTGTGGCATGGGCACAACTTCCAACTGGTAGGGAGCTGCGCCCATGCTGCTGCCTCTTCTCCCCATAATGCTTTTTGTGCAGTAATGCCTTGGCAGAGGAGATCCCCTTCTTATACAAAAGCTGATCAGGCATGAAATTTAGGATTTCTTGTAGCTTTCCCATTTATTTTCCATAATTAAATAGGGACCCCTGAAGTTTTTTGACTGTTGATTCCTGTCTGTTTTTTCAGAACCTTTTGCCACATCACTTAAAACTGAGCTATGTGGGTCAAAGCCTATTGACTGATCCATTACTCCATTCTTTTCCAAATACAGCGATCTCTTCCTGAAGAACCTTCAAAAACCTGGAACTAGGATGGGATCCTGGTGGCGACTGCTACAGTCCTTGCTTTACATCCATGTGCTGCTGCCACTCTTTGCTGAAGGTGTCACCAGAGTCTATTACCTGGGGATCCACGAAGTGAAATGGAACTATGCCCCAACAGGGAAGAACATAATCAGCAACCTAAACATTACAGCTGACCTGTATGTTTAACTCCTATACATATTTCAGCCTATGCTGGCCTAAAGTCACAACTGGCTCAGCTGTTTCATGCAGAATATTCTGGGGCTCTTAAACAAGCAGGTGACATGGTCAGATAGCTCATCTTTATAGGCTTAATAATTAACTTGCTTTATCACAGGATCATAGAAACTACCATATTGGGACAGACCAATGGTCAATTTAGTCCAGTATCAAATGGCCAGTTCCAGATACTTCAAAGGAAAGTACCAACCCTTCATGATTCAACTAATTGCACAATGTTATATCATGGGGATTATTTCTTCTTGGCCCCAACAGATGATCTGCTTATCTGCCCTGAAGTTGAAGACTTTATGCCTTTATATATGCATTAGTGCTTAAGGCTGGCCAACATTTTATTTTGACAGAAAATACTGTTTTTAATTAATTTTATGCAAGAAAACTTCTGTTTCAGTCACAGATTCCCAGGCTTTTGAAAATTCCCCAAAATATGAACACTGAAAATAAATGGTTGTCAGCCACTGAAAACACAAGCACTGTTCCAAAACCAAAACTATTTTTTTCAGTGAAACCTTGTGAAAAATCTCTGAAGTGAAAATTTTATATTTTGTGTTGAAATCCTTCATGGATTTAAAATATATTTCCTGCACCAACCTCATGAATACTGCAAGAAATTTGAGTTATCCCTTTAAAAAAAAGTTTGTAGTAGAAACAGAAAAGATCCAGAGAAAAGTAATAAAAATTATCACCTGCCTGGACAGATTCCCAGAAAGGGAGGTATTGAACAGACTGGAACAATTTAATTTATGAAGATGACAAAGTGGAGGCATGTCAGATACATGTGATATAACATAATAGTGAGAGTAAATCAGGTGATTTGATTTATCCTCGCTAATGTTTGAAGGATATATGGACAGTCTGAGATTAAATTTGCACTTAAAACTGATTTTTAAAAGCTTTTCTAGCACAACAAGGAATTAGCATGTGGATCTGATTTGCAGAGATGTTATTGAAACCAATGGCTTAGTAACAATGAAAAAAAGATTCAGCATTGGGATGAGTTGTGCAGCCAGTTGAGATTTTTTTGAAGGAAAAAGTTTTTAGTGAACAAAATGGCTTGTGTCTGAAAATGAAACAAGGTCAGCAGTAAATTCCTTTTCTCTGTAATGTGGCAGCTAACACTAGTTGCCATGGCAATTGTAGGTGTGTAAAGAGTGGAGCTACCTCTGTACAACTCCACCCGTCTCATGCATTAAACGACAAAATTCACGTTTAATTTTATGCTTGCAGCAATGAGCTTGTAAAAAACAAATTTCTTTACCAGGGCTTGCTATGGGTAAGGAGTGTTTCTTTGCTGTAGTAGTGATGGTTGCTAAGAAAAAAAATATTTGGAGTCCAATTAAGATCTGACCTATTAGTAGTATCTGATGAATAGTAATAATAAAAATCAGTTTCATATTTGTATTGACCTTTGGGCATGACACAAGTTCCTGAGCTCACTACTTTTCTGCAAATGCTACATACCAGGTGGAAACCCACCTTCTTTTATTGTCTTTGTCACCAGGCTCAAGAGATTATTCTCATTATGATTCATGTGGCATGCTTGCAAACACCACTAGGATGTAGAAATGGAGTTATAGGAATAAAAAAACAAATAAGAACTCTCAAGTCTAATATTTGGTGGCATAAAATGACCACAGGATAAGAAAGGAAGAAATCTCTTGTGCCTCTGCTGTGTGACATAGCACAGCCAGCTACAGTTAGGAAAGTATTTCCCCACTTCCCTCTATGGCTAAGGGCAGACATTATGCATAAACTGGTTTAAATGATCAGAAACTGGTTTCTGAACAGACATTCAGTGCACATAAACCAGTTAGAAAATGGCTGAAACCAGTTTGAAATAAATCTGGTTAAATGTAGTATCAGCTGTAACTGATTTGGGTCAAACCAGTTTATGTAATGTCTGTCCCAGACCCCTTGCTGGTTTAAGTTAAATCAGATTCCCCCAGCATCCTGGCATGCTCTCTGGGCTGAGGGGGGGCTCTCTGCTCCACACCAGAGCTGGCCCCTCCCCTCTGTTCCCTCGCTGGAGCTCCAGCAGAGACTTGCAGGCACAGCAGGGTCTTCTGGCTTCCCCATTCCCCCTCCCTCCCCCTCTCACCACTCACTGCTTAAGCAGAGATTCCTTCCTTCTCTCTCCCACATGTGGTATGCTAGCTAATGCTGTGTAAGGCAGATAGGACAGTGTCCGCTTAGGGCTTTTTGGAGCTAATCAACAGCTCATCTGGTAATGTCCCTGCATTCCTTCCTTTGGAAAAAAGCTGTTTAAGAACTAATGAGCGAGCCTTCAACAGTGAACTAGCTGTTGAATTAATGAGCGAGGCTTTGTTTTCTGATGGGGTGCTAAATGTTGATAAATGTTCTGTAATCATAATCAAAGAGGGGGAGACCCCTCCTTAATCAGAGCATCCTGCTAGGGCCTGGTCATGTCCTCCTCAGATCAGACCTGTGGAAGGGAAGGGAGGGATGCTCTAGAACCCCCCGGCTTCTACCCTGAGCCACTGCAGGCATGTGCTGGTATTTTTTCGGTCCAGAGGGATGTCTGTATGATTACAAACTGATTTAGCCTAGCCAGGTTAGACTAATCTGCAAAGAATGAATCGATTCAGGCTCAAGCTTTTTGAATGTCTGACCCTAGCCTATGGGACAGACTTTCCTGAGGTGGGTCCCTGGATTGTAGCCAGAGACCTATCTCAGACTAAAGGAACTACTAATCTGCTATGGTGCAGTGGGGCTTTGTGTCCCCTTTCATATTTCATGCTCTCAAACGGTAGACAATAGTGAAGGATCTAGTGTTATTACCTAACTGGATTTCACTTCCAAGGTTCTCCTGTGATCATACTGAAATCAGGGTGGTTATGTCACATCAGCCACAAAACTGGGCCACTGTATAACATTGTGGAGCATTATGGAAGTTATTTGGGATGACCTCTTTTGCTGCAGCAGGAGCCCCAGAGGAAACACAATGTTGAACTAGGGTGGGAGGAGAACATGGGATGTGTGCTGGTACAACAGAGGCTCTGTGAGTCAGCTAAGAGGACAACCTTAGGTATCTTTGTTAGCACTGTCCCCACCATGTTATGAAGTTGTAATAGATAGCACGTTATTCATGATCCATTTTGTTTTCTCAATTTAACAGAGAAGCCTCTGCATTCCTCCAGCCTGGCAAGGACAGGGTAGGAAGCATATACAAAAAATCTGTCTATAAGCAATACTCAGACTCCACGTACACAACTGAGATCAGCAAACCTGCCTGGCTGGGGTTTCTTGGGCCCATCATCCGAGCTGAAGTGAGCGATACCATTCTTGTGCACCTAAAAAATTTTGCCAGTCGGCCATACACGATCCATCCTCATGGTGTGTTCTATGAAAAGGACTCAGAAGGTAAATAAATCACAGCACTATAGCAGAATCATAGGTTTTCTACAGCAGACACAGGGAAGATGCAGTGGTTGAACTGACCTGAAGCAATATCACTAGGAAAGCAAGTATCATTGGGTAAGCTTTATGGTAATGCCACAAGCTACTGGTTTGGTGGATCTGAGGTGACTACTCAGAACCTAATTTCCAGCTGTGGGTTCCTTAATAGAATGTCCAGATTCTTCCTTTAAAAATAGTATGATAGTAACACTACCATACCCTGAATATGGGACCATAGGATTAGCAGGGAAGCAGTTTATGAATATTGACTATTATAGTGTTATGTCAGAATATGCATTTAAATGTCTGTCATGTGATTAATACTGTAGACACCAAAGGATTGAATGACATTTCAGAATAGAAATTCCTGACTTGAAACAGTCCCAGAGACTTTAGAAAGAACTAATTCTAGGGGACTGTAGAGGCAGCCTGAAACCTTAATGATGTTCTGTTTTGCAATGAGAAGATAAAGAAGCAATGGGTAGAGCATTGATTCTCAATCAGGGTGCTGCAGCACCCTGAGATGCCTTGAGGATCCTTTCAAGACTGCCACAGAGTGATATACAATGTTAGTATGGTTTGATGGGCAAACATGATTAACAAGATAAAGCCAGATATTTCAAATAGGAATCCACAGTGTTAAAAACTTTCTTACTTGTTGTGGTCTTTCTGAGTTCTTTGCAACAGAAAAAAATGCTCTATTGTTGTTCTGTAGTCAAAAAATGAGTGAAAAGTAAGAGCTGGCTTTTTGAGGGGTGCCCTGAGCCTGGCAAAGAGTTCTTTGAGTTTACCTAGAGGTGCTTAGCACCTAAGAAGATTGAGAACCACTGGGGTAGAACATGGGACTGATACTGGCTCTACTGTTAATTTACTGGGGAAGTCTTTATGCCTCAATTTATCCACTGAAAAATCATCACTGCATTAGTTAACATGTCCATATAAAGCTTAAGTCCTAGACCGAGAGATACTACAAATTCAGGGCTTTTATGTTCTGCCAAGGGTGAAACATGAAGTATGGGTTTATACATCATCTGCTCTGCTGAACTTGAACAGATGCTCTGATTGTTTAATTATTCCAGGGTCCCTGTACCCCGATGTGTCCTCACAGGAGCATAAGAAGGATGATTCCATTCCACCAGGAGGGAATCATACATATACTTGGACTATACCTGAAAATCATAGCCCAACAGCTGATGACACAAACTGCTTGACCTGGATCTACCACTCTCATATTGATGCACCAAAGGATGTTGCTTCTGGGTTAATTGGGCCATTACTGACATGCAAAGAAGGTAATGCTGTAGGGAGAGGGGAACTCAAAGTTGCAGTTTCACGCTTCAGAGACTTTATAATGATTTCAGGTAGGTTAGGACAAGCAGTAGCAGCTACCCAGTCAGATCCACTGCTCATGTGCATTTTGGTCTGAGATAAGCATTGTATTCTGGATTGATTCTGATCATTACCTTGTACTTATTCATAATGGCTTACTGCAGTGGTGCTCAGCTTTTCAGCCCTGTGGGCCAGATGAGTGGCATAGGACCCATCTGTAGGGCAGATTGGAACCCAAGCCACTCTTGCATGCCAGACTTGGGCTCCAGGGCTCTGTGTTGCTTACCTCCAGCCCCATCTCCTGGGATCAGGCCCCAGGCCCTGTGTTGATCCTGCCAAGCCCCACGGGCCAGGGTTGGGCCCCATGTCACCCTGTGTGCCTGATCTAGCATGCAGGGCCATGGCCTGCAGAGCTCCTCACAGACCAGCGGGTAGCCCTGCAGGACAGGTTACTTGGTGCCAGGGGGCCAGATCAGGTTAAGCACCCCTGGCTTAGAGCGTTAGTGCATTAGTTTGAAACACCTTGAGACATAAGATGAAATACATAACTGTATTGGTCAGATGTGATCTGTACATGCTATTTATTGTCAGTAACAACAATAATGAAAGGTCTAGGATTGGACTAGCGGGGAGTTCTGCCAGTAAGAAATGAGATGTATTAGCCAAACTGGGTGGGATTTAAGAATGGATCAATGTCAAGTACTGCAGGTTAAGGATGACATTGGCAGAGTTCAGTGAAGGTATGAACAGGAAGAACAGAAGTCTACAATCTGTTTGGGAAGAGATTTCCTTCAATGTATTGGTGCTATTCTCTTTGACAAATCTCTGCTCTTCCCGCATTTTCTTGTCATTTTCTTTACCCCAGGAGTGCTAACTGGCACCTCCCAAAGGCGGCATGATGTGGACCTGGATTTCTTTTTGATGTTCAGTGTCATAGATGAGAACCTGAGCTGGTATTTGGATGAAAATATTGCTTCTTTCTGCACTGACCCAGGCTCTGTCAACAAGGAAGACAAAGAGTTTCAAGAGAGCAACAGAATGCATGGTGAGTGTCACCCATCACAACCACCTGGCTTTTCTTATTCATTCTGTGCATGGGTGACAGTTCCATGATACCTGGAAATGCAGCTTCCCCAGATATATACGTGGATGGTTTTAGAACTATACAAGACCTGTACTGAAAGCAGCCCTATCAGAAAGGTGCCACCTCAGTCCCAACAAAACCATTATGTATTTGGTGTTCTTTCACTGAGCATTGGTCCATTGATCTCAGCTGCAAATTATGACTCATGATAGATAATGATCAGTGAAGATGGATGGTCCAGGATCAGTCAGTGGAGGGGAAAGGCATTCTGGTCACATCTTTCCTTTGTATGCCCTCTATCTCTGTAAAATGACTTGCAGGCTGAGGCTCAGAAATCTCCTTTCTTGATTTGTGCTTCTAAATCCCTTGGTTTGCAGCTATTAATGGTTATTTGTTTGGCAACCTGCCGGATCTGACAATGTGTGCTGGGGATCAGGTAGCATGGCACCTCTTTGGGATGGGCAACGAGATTGACATCCACACAGCCTTCTTCCATGGACAAATGCTCACCATCAGAGACCACAAGACTGATGTGGCCAGCCTTTTCCCAGCTACTTTTGTGACAGCCAACATGATCGCCATTAACCCTGGGAAATGGCTTCTGAGCTGTCAGGTCAATGATCACTTCAAAGGTAGGTCACACTTTGGAATCCATTCTACAACCTGTGAACTCCTTTCTCTCTGCCATAGTGACCACTTCACATTGTGCAGAGGGGCAGAACAGCCCTCCAGACATACCCCTTGCTGAAAGGGCTTTTCTTGTAGTGTGGGGTTAGTGGAGTTGTTTGACCTGCAGGCATTACAGATTTTGGCAGGTGATGCTCCAGCTTGCCCAGCTTTGGACATCTCAGGGTCAGACTAGGTGGTGGTTCTGCAGGAGGTGCCCTGTAGTTTAGGCTTTTACCTCCATAGGCAGCACCTATATAATACACATGAGAATTGCTGGAGCTACATTTTCCCACTGGACCTCCCTGATGTAGGGTCTGGTATTTATGGTAGGAACCCTTATGCATTAGCTGAGAAAACTCTCCCATCTCATGTGACACTTCAGCACCCCTTTTCAGCAATGCCCAAGTTGAGATAACAGGACTCGGTGCTTAGTGCAGAAGTCACTCTCTTTAATCCATTCTACACCCTGTGGGCTTCTATGGTCTGGACAGGGCACTGCCAGCAGAGGGGTCCCCCTCTGCCCTTTGGCAGCTTGGAAGACAGAAATTTAAGTGTGCATTTGCTTCTTCACCATGTCTTGGGCAGCTGGAATGGAGGCACTCTATGAAGTCAGACATTGTTCTCAGAAAACTCCGGAGTCAACCCTTACAGGGAAAGTCCGGACATACTACATAGCTGCAAAGGAAGAACAATGGAATTATGGACCCTCAGGACTTGACCTGAGCACTGAGGAAAGCTTGCAGAAGCCAGGGAGGTAAGAGGTTTTCACATGCAGGGGCTCTCTACTGAAGTCTGTGTCTGAGATGTGCCCACTGTGTTGACAGTAATTTGGAACATCTTATTCAACATAATGGTTAAAGCCACTGTTTCCCTGACATGCATTCCTATAGGGCAGATATGCACTGCACACTGCAGTGCAGCTCAGAGAGACCCAGGCTAGTTCAGGAACCAGAAGCATCATAGAGCTGTGTGTGGGCCATTTCACTCTGCTTCTCATGGAAGAGGCTTCTGTTGGTTCCTGCTTCCCTCTTTTCTCCCTCTCCCTTAATTAGCAGGAAGCCTATTATTCTGATAAAATGATGCATTTCTCAGTAGGGAAGCAAGTTTCACAAAAGACACAGGGTGGCAGAGCTGGACTGTAGATTCCTATTCAGATTTCATGAAGCCATGCTATGTGAAATCTCTCAGCAAGCACCCAGCTCTAGCTCCCATGCATCTGACATAGTTTCATAGTTTGTAGGGTCGGAAGGGACCTGAGCAGATCATCAAGTCCAACCCCCTGCCATGGCAGGAAAGAGTACTGGGGTCAAACAACTGCAGCAAGGTGATTGTCTAGCCTTGTCTTAAAGACCCCGAGGGTAGGAGCCACTTCGCTTGGAAGTTGGTTCCAGATCCTAGCTGCCCTGACAGTGAAGTAGCGCCTCCTGATGTGTAATCTGAATTTACCCTCTGCCAGCTTGTGACCGCTATTCCTAGTCACTCCTGGTAGTGCTTGGGGGAACAGGGACTCCCCCAGTGCCTGCTGGTCCCCTCTGACTAGTTTGTAACAGGCCACTAGATACCCCCTCAGCCTTCTCTTCTGGAGGCTAAATAGGTTCAGGTCCCATAGCCTGTCCTCATAAGACCTGCCCTGCTGCCCCCTGATCAGGCGAGTGGCCCTTCTCTGGACCCTCTCCATGTTGTCCACATCCCTCTTGAAGTGTGGTGCCCAGAACTGGATGCAGTACTCCAGCTGTGGCCTGACCAGGGCCACATAGAGGAGGAATATCACCTCCTTGGACCTGCTTGAGATGCATCTGTGGATGCACGACAAGGTACGGCTGGCCTTCCTGACTGCATCCTCACGCTGCCGGCCCACGTTCATCTTGGCATCAGTGATGACTCCAAGATCCTTTTCTGCCTCTGCACTGTTGAGAAGGGAGTTCCCCAACCTGTAG